CTCCGCGCAAGGGGGATGATCGCACCACGTTGTGTTAAAATGGTCAAGCACCCTCGAGGCAGTTACACAGTGCTTACAACTGTCTCTGGAAGTGAAAGCACCAGAAAGTAGATTAAGTAACACGCAGCTGTCATCCGTACGCAAGGAAGTAAGCACAAGATGCCGAACACCCTTAGCAGGATGCAGCGCACCCTTCATGCGACTCGCCGAATATCTCACGGCGCTTCGCGCTTGGTGATGTGAGAGCCTGGTCCGGTGAGAACCCGGCGTGCTCCGTCCCGGCTTTGTAGGGATGCGAGGTCAATGGTCTAACGACTAGGGCATGCACGACTATGAGTACACCCCCTCCCCCCCCCCGGGGGTTGGTTGTCTTCGCCTGTGATCCTCACAAGCCGCATTTTGCAGTGTGTCCACAAAAAAGTGCCCTGCGTCCGGAACGCGTCGAAGTGGATTGTGTTTCGCGTGTGTCTGCTTGACGTAATGTGGAAACTCTTGCAAGCAACCCGGCCCTTCCCGCCGGGGGGCCTGTACGAAGCACGTTTACGCGCCCCACTGCCTCTGCCACCACCACCTTCGCCACCACTCTTCTAAGCTCTTCACTAATCGCCACCCCTCCCCGCCCCCGAATTATATGTCCAGCGCCAACTTCGCAAGCAGTATGAGGAAGAAAAATCCACCGCGGAAGCCGAGATCGCTCGCCTCAAAGCTGCGCTCGATGCGGCCACCAAGACGACAACGGCCGTTGCGGCCACGTCAGCTGCGACGAGAGCGCTCCCCGCCGTCGACAAGAAGCCGGCGGCGGCCGGAGAAGCCGAGAACGCCGGTGGGGGCGGCGGCGGCGGCGGCGGCGGGGGCNGGGGGGGGGGGGGGGGGGGGGGGGGGGGGGGGGGGGGGGGGGGCGGAGGTCGGCTGGCGGGCGGCGGGAGTTCCTCCCGGCGTTCGCAGTCTCGAATGTCTCGGGGGTGTCGACGGCGTCGATGTCGACCATGGGCTCGACGGGCGGTGCTAGTGCTGGCGCCGGCGTGGCCTCGAGGAGAAACAGCGGCCGCGACAATGGGGTCATCGGCAGCGGTGGCGGCGGCGGCGGGGTGGAAGAAGTGCTTTCGTGCACGGGTCCCGGAGGGGGAGGAGATGCGTCGTCGTCGAAGAAGAGCAGCAGGAAGTCGACGCTGGTAGAGGCGGTAGGGTTCGCGGCGGCGGACGGGCAGCAGCAGCAGCAGCAGCGGCAGCGGCGGCCGAAGGGGAAGGGCGCGGAGGAGGAGCGGCCGGCTCTGCAGCGAGCGATGCCCACGTCCTCCGCCGCGGCTATTTGTAAGTGGTGCCACACACCCAAAAAACAATAACGCCAAGAAACGGCGCGCGCGCGTGTACCGTAGCAAGCAAACTTTTTTTTTTCGGCAGTGCAATAAAATGACGCCACGCAAGCGCGTGCGCATGTACGTCGTAGCAAATCAAGAATTTTGGGTGATGTATCATGTACCACCGCCGGTTTTGTTTTGTCTCGTCGCCGTCACTTTCTGCGTTTGGTGGCTGCTGTTGCGCTTTGTGCGGCTTGATTTTTCACTTTTTTTTTTTTTGTCGACAAAATGTGCCTACGGGATCTGGAGCCACAATTGATTTGTATCGCTTGCCCTCCGGCTGAGCCTTCTTGAGTCTTCAGGGTCTGCGGACCGTGTCAATCTGTGTGAGGGGTTGCGGCGCAACTGCTGTAGTCTATCTGCAAGGCTAGAGTAATTAGACGGAGGCGGTTCTCTTTCGGCCCTCCGCTTTTCGGGCGTGGTTGTGAAAAAAGCCTTCCGTCCATCATACATTGGCACCAACCCTTTTTTTGCCCTCTTGTCTCTCCGTCGTACGCATTCAGCAAGTACGCGTTTGGTTCTGCGGGCTGTGCATGTAGGGCTACTGTACAAAGGCCGAGCCCTCCTCGTTCTCTGTACGCCTCCCCCCACCGCGCCCCACAGTCATCCACGACACAACAGTCGCACACTAAAAGTAAAACCCAGTTCAAGGCTGAGCTCTCTCGTTCTCTGTACCACGCCCCCCCTCCCCAACAATGCTCCACATCTTCTCGAAGACGCGTGGTCTCAACCACTGAGGCATGCAAAACACGAGTACCCCCTGTTAGAGATACAACATATCCACTGAGCTATCAGTCAGCGGCTGACTAATAGCTCAGTGGATATGTTGTATAGTCAGCGCTGACTGATAGCTCAGTGGATATGTTGTATCTCTAACCCCCCCCCCCCCGAAATGTTTAGTTGGCGGCCTACCCTATTCCCATGTACCTGGCGGTGGCGTGCAAACCANGGCGGTGGCGGGCAAACCATGAATCCCCCCCCCCCCACCCCCCACCCCACCGCGCCGAATACAGTCGCAGCCTACCCGCTCCCCATGGGCCTGGCGGCGGGGGTGCCCGGACACAACTCCACGGTGGCGAGGGAGGCCGCTTCCATGGCCTCCAAATTCGCGGCTGAGCCCGACGGCGGGGACCGTGCCGCCCTCGCCATCCTGTTTCAGAGCTGCCATGGTCTGCGTTGGCTGAGGCGGGCCGGGTGGGACGGGGACTCTGACCGGAGGCATGGGGTGGCGTGGACGACGGAGAACGCGAGGGTGTTGAAGCTTGAGCTCGGGAATAACCGGCTCGAGGGTGGGTGTTTGGGTGTTTGGTTGGTTGGTTTGGTTTCGTCTGTTCGATGATTGTTGTTTCCAGAGCGTGTTTGGGTGTCCATTGTTGTTGTTGTTGTTGTTGTCGTTTTGTCGTTATTGTTGTTGCTGCTGCTCCTGCTCCTGCTGCTGCTGCTGCTGCTGCTGCTGCTGCTGTTGGGGTTCTTGTTTTTGTTGTTGAAGATAGTGGTGTTTTAGTCCCCTTTGCCACACATCTTGCGTGCGTCATATCCGAAATTGAGTGGAACAGAACAAAACAGTCGCTGCAGTTACCGCGATCAACGAAAAAAATACACGATGTTGTGTGTGGAGATGGAATAACTTTGCGCGGCGGTTATGTACATACTTTTGTTTCACCTCGCTATCACGTCTCCCACGTTGAGGTACCCACACGTAGGTGCCAGCGGTGGCGTGTTGGTTCTTGTGTGGGGCCTCGTCTTCTCTTCCGCGTCTCTCTCACGTAGTGGTCGATTGAACCAGGAGGTGTCGAAAGAAGATGTGAGAGATGACAAGAAATACTCTCGAGTCTGCGAGAGCCAACAGGTGCACGCGTGCTACTACTGCCGTGGCAGAAGAGTGTTGAGCGTCCACCTAGCTAGGTGCGACACGGATGAGAGCGTCGAAGTTGTTGAGTGCTCTCAGACATAAAGCAGCGGCGTACTAACACTAGAGCCCCCCCGCACCGTAACCAATAGCATACGTCCCCCCACCCCCCTTGTTTCCATTCTTGCTAGCAATTGCTGTGCTGCTGTAAATTCGCTCGATTTTCTTGCTCAGCTTTTTCGTCTCACCAGCAGTGATCCAATGCCGCTTGGGTGTTTTTTTTTTTTTTGCTCTGTTCGTTTGTAGGGTACATTCCAAGGGAGTTGGGTGTGATGTCACGACTGCTGTGCCTCCGGCTGGACCACAACCTGCTCATGGGTGAGTGAGGGACGAAGGAAGGAACGGACACGGGACAAAGAGGAGAGCAGGAGAGAGAGGACTTCCTCGAAGGAGTTGTAGTTTGTCAGCAGCGACGAAGATCGCGGTCTCCAGGAATTTCTCGCTCCTCGTTGTGCGTGCACGTCTCAGCTTTTGCTGCTGCTGCTGCTGCTGCTGTTGCTGCTGCTGGGATGGTTGGCTGAACCTCAAAACGACTTCACTGCTTGTACGAAGCGTTTGTCTCATTCTTTTTTTATTTATATTTTTTTTGTTGAGAAAGTTGTTTGACGTCAACCAAGTACCGTCGCCAAGCCCGGCGAAGACCGACGGGGACGTCCTCAAGTCCTCGTCAAGGCGGACGGCCGGTGACGCTCCCGGAATCGAAACGAGAAAGGCGCTTGCAGAAGCAATTGGTGTCGATCCTCCGATCCTCCGCTTGCATTGCTGTGTTTTGTTTTGCCTTCTTTTTTGCACGCGATCGATTGTTTTGCTCAACAGAATTGCAATAGATGATAATTCCGCTTACTGTCCAGTCACCTCCTGTTTGGTGCGGTTCGTTTGTTTTTGTTGTGTCTTTTCTTTTTGAGGTTAAGTTCTTTGTTCGGTCCATGTATTTCACTTATTTTTGCAGTAGGGAGTGTAATTTTTCTCTGTTTCCCCGTGCTGTGTGTGTGTTTTTTTTTTATTATTATTTTTCTCTCGTCTCGCCCAGGGCGCATTCCGCCGGAGCTTGGACTCCTGGTCACCCTCCAGCAACTGGAGCTGCAGGGCAACGCGCTGACAGGGATCATACCGAGGGAGCTCGGCGGCTTGGTCAACCTGCAGTACCTCGGACTGCACGATAACCAGCTCTTGGGTACTTGTTGTTTTTGGATGATGTATCTATAAACAATACCACTACCACCTCGTTCGAGATTTAGCAACCAATTGTTGTGTGTTTCGCGTGTTGACCTACATTCAGTATCCCGAAAGAGCACTACGTATTTGCGTGTTGAAACTATTGTTGTGTGTTTCCTCGCACAATCACGCACAAAACACACAGGCAACCCAGCGCCCCCCCCCCCCCCCCCCCCCCCCCCCCCCCCCCCCCCCCCCCCCCCCCCCCCCCCCNNNCCCCCCCCCCCCCCCCTGTCACTAGAACCCTTTGCCTTGACAAGCGTGTTTGCTTTTTTTGTCTCGCAATGACACTGAACGTTTTTTCATTGGTCTGTGGGTTGGCGAGGCCGATGCTAGTTCACGAAACACACACACATCCACCGCACGGGGCGGGAGGGGAGGGGGGGGCGAGCTTGCGAATAGAACAGGTTCTTGGGTGGTAAGTAGGTGCCGTTTCTTTTCTCGAAATTCGCCGAGCAACAATCGTTTTTTTGGCTGGATTCCTCTGCACACCCACCCGCAAGTTGTGGATGTACTGCTGTGGGTGTTTGACATGTGAAATACCGGGGCCTCCGGGAGCCGTATACGCGGGGGCCCTCGATGGTCGATAGGTTGCACTGCTGTTTTTCTCTCGTTGCAAGGAATTCGTGGTGGTTCTGGTCTGTTAATTTTTCTCCCTGCTCGGTCGTCGGTATGAGTCTCCCGGTGTCCATACGACATGCCTTGCCTCGAGGATGGTTATCATATCATCCAGCGCGTGAGCGAGGACCGCGCCACCCTGGCTTAAGCACTGACATTACCCCAGTGTAATCAGAGGACGAAAAAAAAAAAGTGTAGCAGCACGTGTCAACAATTACGATTGTGCGCGTCCATCCGTTCCCCCCCCCGTCCCCCCTTCTTCGCCCCTGCTTCCTGTCCCCCCTATCTTCGCAAAAAAAAAAAAAGAAGCTTCTCCCACAACCTCTTGCTGGCGTTGGTGTTGTTGCAGGGGAAATCCCGGGAGAGCTTGGCCGGCTGTCCAGGCTCAAGCACCTTGCCTTGTGCAACAACCGACTGTCAGGTTAGGACTCACGTCACCTATGCGGATGTGCGGATGCATATTTTGCATAGTTTATTTGCTGTTCTCGGGAGGAGATAGGCCCTTTCCCCGTAAGATGTACTTCAATACGAAGTATTCTTGAATGCTGTATGGCGTCGTATTTTTTTTTAGTGATCTTACTAGGCATTTCTTGCTCGGAAGTATGTTTTGTTGCTGTCTTTTTTTGTGCCTGGATAGGCTCGCTCTTCAGACAGAGTTGTGCTTGTTCCATAGGCGAATATGCGGGAANGGGGGGGGGGGGGGGGGGGGGGGGGGGGGGGGGGGGGGGGGGGGGGGGGGGGGGGGGGGGGGGGGGGGGGGGGGGGGGTCGCCATTTTTACCTTTTCGCCTGGCTGAGAAGGAAGGCCATGGTGGCCCAGCATGAGCGGTTGTGCGTGGGGAGGGGTGTAGCTGCATATCTCGCTTTTGCTTGATAGAATCCGGCAAACATCTCTCACTGATGTGATGTAGACTTATGCGTTCTTGTGGTGAGACGGTCTACAACGTCTCGCCCACGCGGTGTCCGCGGCAGGACAACCATGCACTCCCCTCCCCACCGCTAAAACGTGCGTACCACACCGCCAACGTCGACCGCTGCCGCTGCTGTCTGCAGGGAACATCCCACGGGAGCTGGGGGGGTTGCGCTTGCTGGAGCAGCTATACCTCAACCACAACACGCTCTCGGGTACGTGTGGATTGATGCGAAGCATTGGCATCTACAGTATCACGGAGAACCAGTGCGCGTATCCTGTCATGGTGTGTGCATTGCGGATTGTTTGGGATGCCTGCTGATTCACCGCCGCGCGTGATTCCCACGCGCCTTTCCACCTTCTGTCCCTCTCTGACTTGCTCTGTGTGTGTTCTCTCTCTGCCTCTTGCCTCTCTCTCCCCAAACCTCTTCTTTCCTCCTCGCCCTCCACTGCTGGTTATCCGCGGGTGGTCCTTGTCCTGGCACCGATTCCCACGCGCGTACGATCTCTGTCCAGGACCCATCCCCGTCGACCTGTGCAGGTTGTCCAACCTCCACAAGCTCAGGCTGGAGAGCAACACCCTGCAAGGTATGCATGCTGGATACCACCAATGAGGTGGCATTAATTAAACTCTACAGGGACGAAAGAGCAAATAGATGTTTTGAAATATTTGTGGCAGACATAGAACATCAGTGGGTGAACAACACTTGCCGCAACAGTTGGAGGCAGAGAGGCCGACGCGACTTATGTTTTTATGAACCCGAAAAATGCTACTTTGCAACATATCACTTTCTCGGAAAACTCTTGGTGGCCCGGGTGTCGATTCCATGCGGTGGGTTCCGTACCCCCCCCCCCCCCCCCCCCCCCCCCCCCCCCCCCCCCCCCCCCCCCCCCCCCCCCCCCCCC